CAGATTATTGCCTGAAAAGAGGAATATAAGGAAAGGAAACAAAAATATTTGGTGCTTAGAAGTATAAGGAACATGACACCTGGGTGGCTCAGTCAGTTAAGCGTCTGCCTTCAGCTCAGGTCATGATCCCAGGGTCCTGGGATCGAGCCCCACTCAGGGGCTCCCTGCTCAGTAGGGAGCCCTCAGCCTTCTACTTGCCCTGCTTGTGCTCTCTCTGTCAAATAAATAAATAAAATCTTTTTTTAAAAAAAAGTATAAGGAAATATTCACGGGTACAGGGGTGGCAAAGCTCCTCAGTTTCCAAAGGGTGCTTAGAAATAGGATATTTAAATATTATTATGTAATTTTAGTAAATTCTGATGTATATTCACCTGGAAATTCATACCCCTGCTGTATTACAAGAGTTTCTGGTCTGTATTGCTTTTGTGTCATTAAAATGTAAAGCCCGATGCCTCCCCAGATGTTAGAACAAGGTATTTTTGTAGGACCACTGTGATGGCTTCGGCAGTTGTACCGTTAAAGTGGTCACTTTGATGTTGCTGTTAAATTAGCGAAGCAAGACAACAGCCAAAATTTCACTGGTGCCAAGCAGCAAACCCTGTTTCACTGGAGGAGGCTGCTCCTGATTCATAAATAATAGGGATTTTCTCTAATAGAAATGCATCTGGTGGCCTCAGGAGATCCTCTTTAATCCCTTAGAATGAGTTCAAGAGCTGTCACAACTTTTTATGACAATTTGGGCTTAATTTTAACTGTTCCATGAGCCTGTTGTACAGCAGATACAAATCCACACCTACTTAATACTTTATTTATTGGCCTTGGTTTTCTTTTTCCCTTATTTTCCCTGTTTTATTTTGTTATATTACTACCACTCACTCAAGCTGGAAAACTGGGGTCACCCTGACTCCTTACAACCTCTATTCAACCCGTTCCTGAATGTGTCTCTTCCCCATACCCGTCACGTCTGCCTTAGCTCAGGCGCCCATCTTTGCTTTCCTGGACCAATTCAACAGCTACCAGCTGGGGCCCCCTGTCCCGAGGCTCTTCTGCTCAAGCTCATCTTCTATTTAAACCCAAGCCTGACCAGTCTCCACCCATTAAAAACCCTTCAGAGTCCTCATTGTCCATGGAGTAGTCCAAGCTCCTAGCAGAGCAGACAGGGCCTCCCCAGTCCTATTTTCCCATCTTGGCTCTTTCTCCGCTCTCAGCCTTTTGCTCGAGCTGTTCCCTTTGTCCAAAGGTCCTCTCTGGCCACCCCATCCTCCAGCCCCTCATCCCTTATCCCTCACCCAGATCCTCGCCATTCTTGGAGACACAGTTCAGACGTCACTTCTTCAGGGAAACCCGCTCTCACCGCATTGTGACCCCTCCTGCTCTGTCCTAGGCCTCGGCGGGTGATCCTCCGCTCTCTTGCATTAGTACGCTAATTTAGTACGCTAATTTCTTCATAAAAGCGAGACTACTCTCAGGATTTCTTTCGGTTAGCAAAAACAGGAACTAATGTGGGTCGTTTGTGAAAGCAAGCATGAGCTCACGTGAACTTTCAGAAAGCAGGGAGACTCTTCATTTTACGTCATTTCAGTTTACGGAAGATTTCATAGGCGTGCTCTGCCTTTGGGTAGTGAGGGAAACCTGTATTCATTAAACATATTACTGTAATCATCACTGACTATACTACATTTTATTGTAACTCTCTGTTGAGGTGTCTGTTGTCTTCCTTTAGAATGTTAGCTCATGCTTTTAAAAGTAGGATAGAAAAGGGGCAACGGCCAGAGAGTAAAATACACAAGAGAAATGACCAGAAGGGTCACAGAAAATAAATGCAAATGATTCTTAAACATATAAAAAGATGCTCGATCTTGATAATAATAAGAGAAACGTCAATTACTATGTTACCATTACTTACCTATCATAAATCCAAAAGTTGGACAACACACTCTGCAGGTGAGGCTGTGTGGAACTAGGCATTCTCACACATTGCTGGTTGGAATGTAATTGGTACATTCATTATGGGGGAACATTTGGCAATATCAAATAAACTTTTATATGCTTTTACCCTTTGGTCCAGCATTCACACTTCTAAGAATATATCCCAAAGGTGTACTGCCAAATATATGAGAAGATGTAGGTAGAGAGCAATACTCTGTAGCACTTTTTATAACAACAAAATGTTGGAAATAGCCCATATTAACCATTAATAGAGTACTGGCTGGATAAATTATGGTAAATCTATACAAGAGAGTATTTTGAAGCCGTACAAAAATGAGAACTATCTTTATATAATGCTATAAAGTAATTGCCAGATGCATTAAGTGAAAAAAGCAAGGTGGAACACGTGTGTTCAGTTTGTTACTGTTTTTTTCTGAGAAAGAGGAGGATATAAGGATATATTTACTTACAGTTTTTAAAAGTGTAAGGAAAAGGAAATAACAAGATGGAGATTACAAGAACAAAAACTAGACTTTCTAAATATTTCTTATTTTAAGGATTTTACCTTGGAACCCTGTATATCTTTTACTTAATTGTGAAATCATTTTAAAAATCCCCCACCCCAAATGAAAAAGAAATGAACCTAAATGTACGTATTGAGTTGGTGGAATAATCTTGCAGAGAAGAACTGGTTTTTCTCCTCTATTTTCCCTTCCCTGCAGCCTTTTGCCATCAGAATTGTTGACCCTGAGACCACGACAGATGTAAAGTTTGCAACAGTTTCTAAGGCAGAGGGGAAGCCTGTGTTTCCCATGATGGGTTAGTGGGAGGTCCTCAGCTCAAAGCCAAGGTCTCCTTTATTTTCTGCTTATTTTGCTAAAGAATTACTTTTCCTCATTCAGCTTCCTCCTTCCTTTCTTTTCCCAGCACCAGCAAAATCACAAGTGACATAGCGAAATAGGCAGGTTCCTATCTCACACTAACAGATTTCAAATTTGAACAGCTTGAGCTTGGAAAATGATAGGTTCAAGGACATAAATAGGGAATTTTCTTTTCTTTTCTTTTCTTTTCTTTTTAAGATTTTATTAAATTATTTGAGAGAGAGAGCACACAAGCAGGGGGAGGGGCAGAGGGAGAGGAACAAGCAGACTCCCCACTGAGCAGGGAGCCCAACATGGGGCCTGGGATCACAGACTGAGCCAAAGGCAGATGCTGAACTGACTGAGCCACCCAGGTGCCCCAGATTGGGAATTTTCTGAGAGAATCTTTCAGCTAGGGATAGAGAGCTCTTGACCATAATAACCAGAACTAGTAACTTCAGAAAGAGCAGAAAAGCTTCTGAAACTGCAGAGGGCCAATATAGAGGACAGGAAGAGGGCAGTACAGGCCAGGGTCAAAGAAAATGGCACCGAAGATCAGTAGCAAAAGACTGACTCTAGCTGCCCACACAGGGGAAACAGAATCAGTTTCTGATTGGAAGGGTTGAGTGGTTAAAATGAGGGGCCTTCCTGTCTAACGTGTTTGTGCATGTAGGTCTATGTTATCTGGTCCTCACACGTCAGGTTCTCTGGAAGCTGGGGGGCAAGATGGATATTTGGGATTTACACCTGTGAACAGGTGTAAGAGGCAGAAGCAGGATTGGGCAGAGGGAGAAGCTGAACTGTGATAAGGGCTCAACAAAACCTTGGCCCATCAGGCAAAAAAGTTGTCCTGCGGCAGACAGAAATGATTGGCCGTTATACTCCCACCTGGCTTGGTCACTTGACACAGGCTGCCCTGGAAAGGGCTCGACCTCCAACAGAAGACGCAGTTCTGCAGCTAAAGGAGACACTGAAGGAGCTGATAGCTGGAGGCTCTGGGCTGACTGCATTTCCTGCAGCGAGGAGGCAAGCCCTTCCTTGAAGGGGAACTGGGTGGTGCATCTCTCTGCCTACCATGCTACCAAACCTCTCCATAGTCAATACTGTTTTTATTTTATTTTCTTTCAACAAACAAAAGGTATTACCTTTTCATATATTTGGTGTTGCATTTGAAATTACCATTACAATTTCTATTCCATGGATTATCATCAGGTGGTCAGTATTATATTTCTGGGCAGGCTGAAATGAGCTGTGCATTCATTTATCTACCTCACAACATTTATTAAATATCTATTGCATGGAAGTCTCTGGAAATCGGAAAGATGAATAAAGATGCTTTTCCCATGAACTCTTGGGAGTTAGATTCTAGTGGGGTGGCAGACAATTAAATAGACAATTAAAACGAATGGTGAGAGTTTAAAAGATAGGTATAAACAATATGCTACAGAAGTTTAAGGGTCATAAAGGAGAAAATACTCTGCTATGTCTGCAGGCATCCTCCTGGAAGAGGAGATGTGGGCTCTGGCCTTCAGATGACAAGAAATATTTGCATAGGAACATTATAGGAAGAATGAATTGCATGTGTAAAGGCTGGGAAGAATAAACGAGCATCACATGTTATGGGAATCATAAATAAATTGATGTGACCAGGGCACATATTGTAAGTATTGGAATCGGGGCTGGGAAGATAAATAGATATTGATACAGATACAATCATTCATTCATTAGTATAATTTTGTATTGTATTCTATCTAGCCAGTGTGTCTCACATGCATTTAATAATGATTTGTGGGTTTTGCTTGTTGTTTTTGTTTGTTTGTTTATAGTAACACCCCTCCGCAGAACTTTCTTTGGGAAATGTTGCAAGAAGTCTTGAGATTGAGCCTGCCAGGTCGTCTGTGACATAAGTCTGTTCTAGATCTAGTACTTGGACAGGTCTGTTTTGACTTGCTACTGACAGATTTTAAAAATATATTATTAGATGCAGATCCTGGGAACAATACAGTTGTATCCATCTGTTCTTAGAGACTAGAATACAGAACTTTGTGAGAAGGAATAACGGATCTCCCTGTCATAAAGAGTCCTTAGCAACCACCTAGTTTAGGACACAGACAGGGAGAAAGAGACTGCAGAGTCTTTGACTCTTTCTAGGGCAAATTGGTCTGAGGAAGCTGAGGAAGAAAGTCCAGGTGCACAGTGAAGACCTTCGCCATGGCATCTGTATCATTTCGAGAGCCAATATCTGCCACAGTAGGAAAACGGATGATTGTTACAGGTAAAGAGTTTTCGTGTATGCTTTCATGAGGAAATCTACACTTTCTTTATCCCTCACCTCTATGATGTTCACATATGATACTCACATAATGGATGGAAGAACGAAATCATCACATATGTTTATTTTCTATGTTACTGCTACTCTCATGGACACAGTCTGGGCATCAACACCATGCTGCCATAAACAGATCTGCGACATCCCAGTTTTCACTCTGTCTAAGCTAACTTTCACAAATCAACATTTTTATATCATAAAGTTTATGTTTTGTGTAAGGGGAACTACTTTGATGTTAACTAAAATATTACTTTTGGGGGCACCTGGGTGGCTTAGTCAGTTAAGCGTCTGCCTTGAGCTCAGGTCATGATCTCAGGGTCCTGGGATCGAGCCCTACATCAGGCTCCTTGCTCAGCAGGGAGTCTGCTTCTCCCTCTCCCTCTGCCTCTACTCTCTCTCTCTGTCTCTCTCAAAAAAAAAAAAACTAAAAAAATAATAAATAATAAAAGTATACTTTTGATCAAATTTTAATTATTACTAATTTAGTCTTCTTATATTTTTATAAACTGGATATATTTGGTTAATAAAAATTCGAACAAGATGTACATTAATCTTAGTACAATTGTTGGCTTGCATTTTGTTCAACTTGCTTTAAAAATTATTTGAGTGGTGTGTGTGTGTGGAATTATAATGACATGTAATTAAATAGAATATGACTAATTGTGGTAAGTCTATAAAGAAATAAACTAAATTTCATCTTATTTTCTTTATAATTTTAAATCATGAGCGTATCTTATAAGCTTATCTTCTTGCCTATCTATAAATTTCCACTTCAATCATGAGGAACCTGGCTCCAACTATTTGCCATCCACTTACTTGTTCAATTCCAGTATACAGGTATACAAGTATCAGAATTATTAACCTGTACTCCACGGGAACAAACTTTATCAACTAGGGGATGGTGCCTCCTTGCAGTTCCTTTTGCCTTTAGACGTACAGACTCTACACATTTCCAAAGTTACCTAGGTGAGCATCTCTCCCTCCCACCCCCTTCAGTTAGACTCTTGTCACAGTATGATTTCCTTGCCGGAATCCCCCAACTTCCTAAATGATTTTTTTTAAATTTGTATACAACAAAGTTTGCTCTTTGTGCTGTACAGTCAATTTTTTAAAATTTTTATTTATTTGAAAGAGAGAGAGAGGGCTCAATCCCAGGATCCTGAGATCATGACCTGAGCTGAAGGCAGATGCTTAACTGACTGAGCCACCCAGGCGCCAAGTCTATTGACAAATTCATAAGGCCATGTACCCACCATCAGAGTAGCACACAGACTAGTTTCACCACTCTAAAAATCCCTTGAGGGCGCCTGGGTGGCTCAGATGGTTAAGCGTCTGCCTTCGGCTCAGGTCATGATCCCAGGGTCCTGGGATTGAGTCCCGCATTGGGCTCCCTGCTCCTTGGGAGCCTGCTTCTCCTTCTGCTTCTCTCTCTCTCTCTCTCTCCTCCTCTGTCTCTCATGAATAAATAAATAAAATCTTTAGAAAAATAAAAATCCCTTGAACTTCACCTATTCATTTCTTGCTTTTCTCTCCCTGAGCTCCTAGCAACCACTGATCTTTTCACTATCTATAGCTATGTCTTTTCCTGAATGTCATAGAGCCAGAATCATACAGGATCTAGCCTTCTCAGATTGGCTTCTTTCACTTGCCAATATGCATTAAGTCTCCTTCAGGTCTTTTCATCGCTTCATAGCTCACTTCCTTTTAGAAATAAATATTCCATGCTATGGATGTCCCACCGTTTATCTATTCACCTATTGAAGGACATCTTGGTTGCCTGAGGTTTTTGCAACTCTGAAAAAAAGCCTCTATAAACATTTGGATGTTGGCCCTTGTGTGGATATGTTTTCAAATTAATTTGGTAAATACCTAGGAATATGACTGCTGGATCATATGACGAGACTATGTTTAGCTTTGTAAGAAACTGCCAAACTGTCTTCCAAAGCAGCTGTACCATTTTGCATTCCCAGCAGCAAGGGCTGAGCATGCCTGTTGCTTTGGCATCCATGTCAGCCTTTGTTTTTGTCTGTTTGGGGGGGTTTGTTTTGTTTTTTATTTTTCACTTTTAGCCATTCTAATAGGTATGTAGTTACATCTCACTGCTGTTTAAACTCACAACTCCTTTTTTAAAAAATTTTTTTAAATTATGTTATGTTAGTCACCCGACAGTCCATCATTAGTTTTTGATGTAGAGTTCCATGATTCATTGTGTATAACACCCAGTGCTCCATGCAATACATGCCCTCCTTAATACCCACCACCAGGCTAACCCATCCCCCTACCCTCTCCCCTCTAAAACCTTCAGTTTGTTTCTCAGAGTCCATAGTCTCTCATGGTTCATCTCCCCCTCTGATTCCCCCCCCATTCATTTTTCCCTTCCTTTTCCTAATGTCCCCCACGCTATTCCTTATGTTCCACACATAAGTGAAACCATATGATAATTGTCTTTCTCTGTTTGACTTATTTCACTTAGCATTATCTCCTCCAGTTCCATCCATGTTCATGCAAAAGTTGGGTATTCATCCTTTCTGATGGCTGAGTAATATTCCATTGCATATATGGACCACATCTTCTTTATCCATTCGTCTGTTGAAGGGCATCTCGGCTCTTTCCACAGTTTGGCTATTGCGGACATTGCCGCTATGAACATTGGGGTGCATATGGGCCTTTTTTTCACTACATCTGTATCTTTGGGGTAAATACTCAGTAGTGCAATTGCTGGGTGATAGGGTAGCTCTATTTTTTAACTTTTTGAGGAACCTCCACACTGTTTTCCAAAGTGGCTGTACTAATTTGCATTCCCACCAACAGTGTAAGAGGGTTCCCCTTTCTTACAACTTCTCCAACATTTGTTGTTTCTAGTCTAGTCAATTTTTGCCATTCTAACTGGCATAAGGTGGTATCTCAATGTGGCTTTGATTTGAATTTCCCTGATGGCTAATGATGTCGAACTCCTTAATGACTAATGTTCATATACTTATTTGCTATCTGTATATCTTCTTTGTTGAGATGTCTGTTCATAATGTTTGCCTATTTTATAATTGGGGTTTTTTCTTTTCTTATTGTTGAGTTTTCACGTTCTGTATGTATTTTAGATATAAGTCCTGTATCAGATAAGTGTTTGTAGATTTTTTTTCCCCAATTTGTGACTTGTCTTTTCATTTTCTTAGCATCATCTTTCATACAGAGGAAATTTTTAGTTTTAGTAAAGCACAACTGATCAATTTTGGATTATGCTTTTGATGTTGTATTTAAAAATTCATCACCAAACCCAAGGTCACCTAGATTTTTCTCCTATATCTTTTCTTAAAAGTTTTACAATTATGTGTTTTCAGTTAGGTCAATGATCCATTTTAAGGAGATTTTGCATTTCTTAAACTTTTCATTTCCATCAGCCAGTAAATTTCCTGTTTTCCTTAAGCCACTTTGGGTTAGGTTTTCTGTCACTTGCAACTGTGATTCTTCATTGATAACTTAAAATTTCTTCTAATTTATGTCAGTGTATACTTAGTTTCATGTATTTACATAATTCCAAGTTGTCACCTTTGATAGATTTCAGCATATTGATATAGAATAATTAACTTCACATTCTCCTGTATTTTATATTTAATTTCCAAATTTTCACCCTTTAATAAAGCTACATGAATACTTTTGCATAAATTATTTTTCTCTGTTATTTTCTTATGGTATATTTACAAAAAATGGAATTAGCAGGTTAAAAATAAAGATTCCATTATCTACTTTTTTAAAGATTTATTTATTTTAGAGAGAGAGAGCGTGTGCACATTACTGGGGGGAAGTGTAGAGGGAGAGAACCTCAAGCAGAATCCCAGATGAGTGCGGAGCCCGATGCAGGGCTCGATCTCATGATTGATGAGATCATGATCTGAGCCGAAACCAAGAGTTGGATGCTTAACTGACTGAGCTATCCAGGCACCCCAAAGACTCCATTATTCATTATTCTATGAGATGATTCATGATGCATTACTTCTTGTACTTTGACTACTCATCTAATTTGATCACTCATCAATTTTTATTTTTCTATCAAATTTTAATATTTTTCTTTTAAAATATATTTTTGAGACTAAATTTTTTATAATGCTTTGAAATTCAATTTAACAAATATAAATTGAATCTCTACTGAATACTAAAAACTTGGCCAAGAGGGGTGACTGGCTGGTTCAGTCAGAAAGAGCATGGGAGGGGTGCCTGGGTGCCTCAGCCAGTTAAGCATCTGACTCTTGGCTTCAGCTCATGTCATGATCTCAGGGTCAAGAGATTGACCCCCATGTCGGGAGTCGTGCTCAGCCTGGAGTCTGCTTAAGATTTCCCTCTGGCCCTCCCCCTGCTCTCTCTCTCTCTCTCTCAAATAAATAAATAAATCTTTAAAAAAGAAAGAAAGAAAGAAAGAGCATGGGACCCTTGATCTCAGGGTTGTGAGTTTGAACCCCATGTTAGGGGCAGAGATTACTAAAAAAATAGATAAACTTAAAAAAAATAAAAAATAAAAAAAATAAATAAAAACCTGGCCAGGAGCTCTGGAGGATACAGAAATGAACATGAATAAGATGCTTTTTTTCTTCTAGAAGCTTATAATCTGTTGCTCTGGTTAGAACATTATAAGTTATGCTGTTATCCTATTTGTTTAATCTAAATATCCATCATAGCATAGTATGGTATTGAAAGGAAACACAAATCTAATTCCAAAGGCCTTGAAAAATAATGTAAAAAAAGTAGAAAATGAGGAAAATTATATCACATTGCACTCCACAAAACTAAACCACACATTTTGTTTTGTTTTTCCTGTTAATTTCTTTTCTTTTTGAATATTGCAATTAAAGCATAAATTACCTCTGACATTATAGGTGGATTTTAGGATGTTTTTAGTTCGCAATTAATAAAGGGATAGAGATTCTTTTAGAAAAAACTGTCAGTGAGTCCAATTT